TTTTCGCATTTGTCGCATGCGTAATCTTTGCGACCTTCGTGAACTGCTTTTTGGTGATTGATCAATTGTATTTCTTGTCCATATTTTTTCTCGCACTCGTCGCAAACGTAATCTTTGCGACGTTCGTGTACTGTCCTTTGGTGCCCAAACAAACTCCATTTTTTTCCAAATTTTTTCTCACAAAACTCGCAGGCGTAATCTTTTCGATCATTTGTCTTTTGATGTAAGAGCAACTCTTCACGTGTATCAGGTACAATATCTATAGGACTCTTCTCGCGTTCAGAATTATTTTGTGCATCGTTAATTGCGTTTTCGTGCCTATTCATAATTGATTTCTTTTTCGTGAATATCTTTTGAAAATGTTCTCAAACGTATTTTTCGCGGACGGAACTACACTGTCACTTTTGATCTCTTTTCACATTTACTTCAATGAGTCTCGGTAATTAAACGAGCGATCATTCAATTAAAGATAAAAATTAATTAAATACAATATACGTAGAATATTACGTAGGGTATGATCTACGAAATGTCAATTAGAATTTTCAGTATTTAGAAGACTACGTAACAATTGCTTGTTACTATTGTTTACAGTCAGACACAGGCTTCTGTATTTACATGTTGCTCAGTCATATTTGAATAGCTCTACATCATTTATAAACAAATTTTCTGTGTACAGTCGTTTATTCGTTTTTATTGAAGATTTTTTTTGACGCTATGAGAACGAGCTGGAGCGGCCTCGGCTCACGCTACCTCAATTTCAAAACGAGTATGTTTCTTTCAAAACGAATTATAACTTTATTCAAAAACGCTCAATTTAGGTTTCAACAAATATTACATTAAAACAGTTCATATCGCGTAAACAGCATTCGTTCGTACCTATGCAAGACGAAGCATAAACAATAAAGCAAAAAAAAAAAAATGAAACGAAAAAAACGGAGAAGGAATCCCTGATATTGTGTGATCGCGTCGACCTCACGTGATGTTATTCGTGGCGCGCGAGCAAAGCTATATATCCGACGAGCAAAAACGATTCCGCATAAAACAATATAAATCTCAAAAGTGATGTGTGTGTGTGTGTGTGTGTATGCGTAGCAGCGGTGACTGTAGCCAAATATTCCGGGAGGAGCTGCAGGCCACAATGGATCGCTGCTGCAGCTCACTGCTCACGAGCCAGCTAATAAAAAGATGTACCTTGTATATAACGAGGCTCGCGCACCACTACAACGTTTACATTACTTATAAGGTCGACGAGCCGCATTATATACGATAAATGAGACAAACGGAAGTCCCAAAAAAGTATATTGTATGTAGCAGCAACAGCAGCAGAAGCGCACGAGCTGCAAACGCCTCGGGAATAGCAAATAACCAGCGGGAGCAGTCACGGGTCCTTCCTTGGCCGCAAGAGGGTATATGTGTATAATACAATTTTATCTCCTCGACATCTTACCCGTGTCTTTTTCGTCGAGCCTGTAACATTATAATACACTTTCTTGCTGGCTTGCGCGCGCGAGCCCGAGCCGCCGACCAGCCGCACAGAAAAAGATGCTTATCCTCTCTCTCTCGTTTGTGTGCTTTTATGCGTGTGTATGCAACCTATCATGGCCCCCGCTTTCGTTTATTATCTCATCTCAAGAATGTGTGCGCACGCGCGCGCGGAACCACACACGCCAAAAAAATAAAAATAAGAAAAAAAAAACGTCGAGCAAGGAAGCAATCGAATCCACGCCCTCCATGGTAATTGAATTAAAGACACGCGCGCGCGTGGATTCCGTCCTAATTTACGAAATTTACCAGTTCTCAGCTCGTTTGTAGAGAGAGAGGAGCAAAAGAACGAGGATTAGGAATTCTCGTACAAATTAATTGAATGGGGCAAAAAATTCGCGACGATTGGAATACCCCGCTCGCTGTGCTCGGGAAAATTACCCGGTGTTGTTTGTAACAGCGAGTGCAAATTTTGTTAAATCGTAGCGAATAGTTTATATCGATGAGAATTCAATCACAATTAGAACCAGCCTCCACCGTTAGATGGCGTGTAGCTCCGTCTGTCAATCTGCAAGTGCCAAGTGAAAATTGCATAAATAAAGCATGCTTCTAATGCTCGGCTGTACTGTTAGTTGCAACTTCTACTACGATACTTGTGTGTCTTTCTTTGCTTTAAAAGTTTTTTTTAAAATGATCTTCGTCAACAAAATCTCCTTTCTTCGTAAGCTCAAGCTGGAGTTTTTTACGTTTTTGCCTCTCCGCGCCCCACTACCCTCTCTGGACGAACAGGATGACACGCGCAGAATTCGAGAGATGAATTTTTCCTAATTGACCTCGCGAAATTGAATCAGCTGTACTGCGGCATTTAAGCTGCGCACTTTTTATTTTTCGTCGCGGGACAAGAAATTGAATCGCTCGAGCGTATACATCGCGTACTAATATACGCGCTGCCGGTGCTGCTGCTGCATCGACGTAATAAAATACAAGAAGTTGCAACGTTAAATTGAAAAAAAGGAGATGGAAGTAAAGAGAGAAAAAAAAGCATCGATTCGCGCATCTCCGGTCTGGGCTCTCTGCGCACGATACCACTTATACGTACACGTACGAAGCTGGAGCGCGCGGCATACCGATCGCGCGAGCCCCGGCTAAAGTCGCCCATGATTTATTGCACGGATCGTCGTGCTCCGCGCACGCAGGAGAGTGATAAATGATGCTCCCAAGTAATTATAACGCTATGCAACGTTAACGATTTATACGCGAAAAAAGAAGCAAGCCGAGTGCTGCTGCTGCTGATGCTGCACGCGGTTACGTACGAGTATGTGTGTACGAATCGAAATGACGATCGTTTTTGTGTGCGCCGATTTCTGCGGATACGACGCGCGGGTCACGGACGGCAATTACTCCGAAACACTACTGATTAGTTACACCGTTGGAAAAAAACCCTCGAATTTGATGCAGGTACAATGTAAAATCATACATTACAATTTTAAGCAGCCCTGGCAGAAATGGTCGACATAGGTAATTGCCTAATGATCAAAATCTGACCATTTGAAATTTTTCAAAATACACGATTGTTTGGCAATTTTTTGGTTGCAGTTATGTTAAAAATATTAAGCGCACTTTAACTGACCTGAAAATGGCAATTCAATAATTTCCGAAAATTTAGACCAGTTTTCAACCACATTGAATACGATGATAGCATATTTAAGTAATCCACCGCGAGTTGGCGAGTGCCTTTAAATCCGTAAATCTGCAAGTGACAAAATCAAAATAATTGTATAAATCAAAGCACGGTTTTGAAATAATAGTCGTTGTACTGTGTCAACTGTGTCAACTGTTCAATATGTACTACTGGAGAAACTATACGAAATTTTATTTCAAGTAGTCTTACAATGAATCTTCATTGAAAATGAATATATCTGTACTAATTTATTTTTTCCACCAATTGCTCGAACAGTTTATGAGTAAAAGACGTTTAAAAAAATTCACATATACATTAACTTTAATGCAAAAATGAACAAAAAAGATATACAAACACTTTACGAAATTCAATTATAACTATAATACCAGTCGCCACCGTTAGATGGCGAGTACATTTATCTGTAAACCTGCAAGTGGCAAAGTTAATTGTATAAATAAAGCTCGTTTCTAAAGTATAGTAAGCACTTTCACGATAAGACATTTTAACCTGCGGGTCACGTTTCTTTACCAAAATTTTTTGGGGTCTCCAGGAACCTAATAATAAAGCTCCCTATGATAAGTTATATTGGATCAGCCTTAGGGCTGATTTTAAAAGGGGTTTTCTACTTTAATTAGAAATCTTTGAGATTTTCTATATCAAGTTAGGAGCACTTAAACAAAAAAATGCACTGATCAAAAATTTTGAAATTTGTCAAAGAATCTGTCTGAATTTTTTCAGAATTTTCCAAATCGCCCATTACCCTTTTTCACGGACCCTAATTTGATGATTTTCTTGCAAAATTCAGAAACCTGTTTAGTTGCCTCCAAATTATTATTTTCATCACACGATGTTCTTTTTCATCGTTAGAATTCTGTTTTCGGACACTCATCCAGATGAAATCGACGACGATTGCTGCGTGGCTCGTCAAAAACTCACTGATCTTATCGCGAGTAAGTTTTCCTTACCCATCCATATATATTACGTTGAAAACTTACGCTCATAGAGCAGTGCGCCGCAGAGCTGCTGCCGATGCACGAAAGCGTCGCGACGCGCAAATCCGCGCGCGTATTGTACGGCCCTGAACGCGACGAGTCTCGCACTCTCGCGTATACGCAGATTTACACTCGCAATATTATATGTATTAATGCACGTATGTACGTGTGCGCGTGTGTATAATATACCTGCACCAATGCCGCCAGAGCACAGTAAGCGACTGCAAGTCGTGTCCATACCTGCACACGAGCGCACACAAACATGCACAGATACCAACTTACAATATACGTGTGCGTATGTGTATATAGCATATATTGGCATGCCTATACACGGACTCGCTCATATATATATATATATATGTGCGCGCGCGAATACCTTACCGATTGCCGAGCCGAGCGCCAAGTTGGCTGGAACGATCTCACGCACGCTACGCCGTCCGAGACTGCTCGACTCTTCTGGTTCTCGCATGTACACACATATACACTCGCACATAAGTACGCACTTACACACACGCACGCGAATCGGACATAACCAGTCAAGCCTTTTCTTATATACACACAGTCTCGCGCGGAGCACACACTCACATATCCTCCAATATACATCTATATATATTTTTATATACACACATATATATTTATGTGCGTGTGTGTATATAGGTATAATATAATACGGGTTAGCCCCCCCGTGTGTGTGCGCGCGCGAGAGAAAGAGAGACGCCGAGCCGCTTGTAACTCCCTCTATTTAGCATTGCAGAATGAGAGAGAGAGAGAAGCAGCAGCAGCAGCAGCTCGCAGACTCCAGCAGAGAGTAGAGAGCGACTCTCTGTCTTTCGTAGCCTGTCTTTAAAAGTAAAAGAGAGAGAGAGAGAGAAACGACGGCCTCGGCCATCGAACACAAGACCACTAGTTTTCATAGCAGTCAGTAATCGACCGAGCACCGCTACGGATCTCGGGGGACCTGCACATTACTATCACACACACATACACGCGCACATTTTTGCATATCATTGTCATTGTTGTTTTCATTGTTATCATTATCATTGTCCCCGACAATTGTTGCATTTTGCTCATTTAGGATTGATAAGCCTCTAATTGACAATTGTGAACGCGCGAGTAAACATATTGGCGATCGGCGACGTTATCATCCGCTCGTGATCGTAGCACGAGGGACGAGTCGATGTTTTCCGATCGAGATCGAGATCGGCAACTGCAGTAGCGCGCCGCTGCAGCGCCAAGTGCTCCCCAGTGCTCCTTTCGTGGTGGTGCGTGGGGTGTGTTGTTGTCGTGTGCTTTTTAAAAGCAGCGATCGAGGTGTTACAGTGCTGCTTTTCAGTGCTGCGCCAACGAGAGTGTCAATAAGTGTGTGCAGAGATATACATAATCATCTCCTCTCCTCTCCTCGCATAGACAGCCAGGCAGGCAGTCAGGCTTTTATAAAAGGAGAACGGAGCCGCTTTGCTGCGCTGCGCGAATGGAGAACGGAGCTGCTCGCGGGCCTCCTATATACACCGTGCGTGTTACATACAGCAGATATCAGCAACGCAGCAGCAGCAGCGAGTTTCACCGCGCACATATTTACCAACACTAGCGCGCGAATACAAAGCGTAAATACATTGCCTAGAGTGCAGATTATTATTGGCCGATAAGACACGAGAGACAACAGCGAGAAAGAAGCTCTAAGGACGAGTAATCGAGAATCGGTGTGACATGTGTGAGAGATATGTGCGTTGCGAGTGTTATCGTTGCAAGTACCCGTGTGTTGTTTGTGACTCGCGCGCCTGCCAATAAAGCAGTGCGTGTTTCGAAATAATAATAATAATAATAATAATCATAAAAAGTGACCAGAAAATCGGTAGCTCGAGGATAAATAATAAAGAAAAAGGTGCAGTTTCTTTCTGTACGTAAAAAAAAAAAAAAACGAGTGTGTCCAAAGTGCACCGCAGCAGCTCTCCAGTGTGTCTGTGCCTGTGTGTGTGCCGAGTGTCCGTGTGTACGTGCATCGCAGTGAGTGATCGTGCGTATACACAATACAGGATCTTTCGGCGGCTGATTCGGGATTACGGATTATTATCAAGAGCGAATAACAACAAGAAGAAATAAGGAAAAATATTAAAGATCGTTATAACGCAGTGCTGGCGACGGAGAGATGCCGTGGCTGTTGACGCCTCGAATTTCTGGCTAGCACAAGGTAAGGACCTTTTCTCCTATACGTATATTAATACGTCGATCTGCTATTCGCTTCTTCGTTCTTTCTTTCTTTCTTTTTTTTCATTTTTTTGCATTTATGTACGTATTATTTATACAACACACGGGCAGCAGCACTGACGCTATATAATACACACCAGAGACAGAGAGCGAGAGACAACTCGACGAAGGCAAACGATCGTAACGAGCGGCTTTTTTCTCGACTCGGGTCTCGGGATCGGGTTATAAATGCGTATATACGATATATACCTGCGTGTATAATATATATACACACATACACACACATATGCTACACCTCTTTGATCTGGATGCTCGAGAAATGTTTCCTTGAGACTTGAAAATAAGAAGAGAGAGAAAAGAGTCAGCGAAGATACGGGACGATTCGCTCGCTCGTTCGCTCGCGCGCGCGCATATATGTATACATTCCTCGATGATTTTTCGGTAATTTATTGCGACACGCGCGTTAGGATGGAAGGTAAAATAAAAAAAATTTATATATATAAATAAAACGAAGAAAAAAAAGGAGAATCTTTTTTTTTTACCTTATTTTACCGCTAATATTTACGATTTTGGCGTGCGCGCTTTTATATATATCGAGTGTGGTTGTGTACGTATAATATGTATATTCATATGTTTAAATATGTATTGCATGTATGCGTGTATGCGCGTGTGTGTATGCATGAACGCTTGTGCTGCTGCAGTCGTAAAAACATTTTGTGAAAGTAGCCGCGAGTTCTCGCGACGAAGCGTAAATGTGTCCGCGTACTTACAATATGTGTGTGCATATACACGCAGACGCAGACACTTGCATATAAACTCGCGGCGCGACGACGACGACGAGTCCTGTGCACTGCGGCAGTACGAGCGAGAAAAGGTGCGTATAGAGCCAGTGCAGCAGCACTGCGCACATATGCGACACCGACACTGGACTTGCTACTGCACTGCACTGGACGCAGTACTCGAGCTGCATTAATACTCATACACGCGCGTTTACGCGCTTATATTTCACGAAAATTCCACAGCAACGCGTTATATCGCTGTGTTTGTATGTGAAACTTACATATATTTATAATATTCGGTTGGAAATTCCGTGGAATACCACCATCGTCGCGAGTGTGCGAGTTTATTTAAAATTTAAAAAAAATGCGTTGCAGTTATAGAAATTCGAAACTCATTACAAATACATCCGATGTATTTCTCTTCCTCCCATTATTTGTATTGCATAAAATGAAATATGTATTTACCCGCGTATTTCAGACGCCGCTGCGCGTATTTTCTATTATTTTCGATGACGACGCGCGTCCCGCGTACTCGTATAGTTTATATATGCCTATACATACCCGAGACTATGCATGCACATTTAGCGCCTGAAAAAGAGAGAGAGAGAGACTTGTTTTACTATGTTGCTCAAAATATGCCTCTGCACTTGCGCGAAATGCAACTTGCGCTTGGCTACGGTACACGCGTGTCGTGCGCGAAAATCGATAATACATACATCCAGCCGAGCGCGTGCGTCTATTTTCGTGAGCGTATCGATAGATTTCACCGAACTTCTTCGCTTTTCGATCGTAGATATATCGCATACACAGTTACAATATGGGAAAGTGCAAATTTAGCCTCAGGCACCAATCGCGATTCCTCAAGTTCATGATATATATTTTTTTGCGCTTCATGTATTTTACCAACTTTTACTCTCGATATATAAGCTCGATTTTCGTAATCGCGATCGGCCCGCACACGATTCCCGCACGCACGACTTCCGCTGTAGTTCATATACTGTGGCACGTGCGCAGAAATTCGCACGCGCAATATTTAAAGTATCATCGTATCGTCATGCGGTAAACGTTTTTCACACCTTCGAATTGCTAAATAAGCTTGCGCGCATGAATATATATCGATGATATCGACAGGTTGATTATAATCGCGCGCTGGCTCATAATAGAGAAAGAATAAAAGAAGAATAAAAGACGAGGCTAATTCACACCTTCTTTCATTCTAAATCGGATTTCGGTGTGTCAGGCCCATTGTCTGGCAGGCCGTTAATGCGCGTTAATGGTCCGAGCTACCATATTCATTATATACCCGAAAAATAAAAGCGTATTACAAATTCGACGCGCGCCTCGCTCTTTCTCTCTCGCGGTATACATATTATAATATTATAATACATATAAAAAAGTTAAGTAGCTTGAGTAAATATCCGGTTTTCTTGGAATCGTCGCGCACTTATAATACAAGTCATCTCGCGAACTTCTTATTCTCCTATCTCCTGCTCTGTCGACCCGTCGTCATCGTCATCATCATCATCATCAAGTCGAGTATCTGTCATGTTCATTTCACCGGTACGCTATATACCGTATAGCTGTTGAGTGATTAATCTCCTTATACATATAAATGCTATGTGTGTATAAAGATCTTGAAAATTATAATCATCCGTCGAAGATGGAAGAAGGGACCGAGCGAGAGAGAGAGAGCATGTGTTTGATATTTCAAGTACTTTTTCCACGATATATTTTCAAAGACTCGAGCCACGCGCGCGAGAAATCGTTCTTTCCATTCGTATATTAATCTTCAAGAATTCGCATCAAGTACTTTTTTTTCTTTCTTTTTATAAAAGATCCGCATCTGCCTTTCGACCCATTAGGGCCTTATATCTAAGCTGTCGTTGCGTATGAACCGCCTGTTTTGGCTGCGACATTTGTTATTTTACGCGCGCGGAGATGAAAGTAGGAAAGGTACACAACCCACCTGACACAACTGTTGGCTACTAGTACTACTTGCGCGTACCGCGTAAGCGATTATCTTTTTATTTCTTAACGAGCTTCATTCCCACATGTGTTGTTACACGAATTTCCTCCCGTAATCCCGAAGAAAAACAACAACGATCGAAGAGTCACGTGAAATTCCCGAAGTTATACATTATACGCTCGATTCGAAAAAGAGAGATGCGCTCGCGCGTTTTGTAAGCGACGCGAGGAGCTTTTGCGTGGCCATACACGTAGGCGGGACCCTTGGCTCGGAGCGCTTCTTCCGTGGCGACGACGCGATTGGACGGCGTGGGCGGGACGACACACACACACTTATACACATGTAGTTGCACCGACACACATACAGACGCAACACACAATGCGACGGCTGGGGCCGCGACCACGAGGGAGGGTAAAATATCTCGAGCCAACTATACACGCACTCGGCATTGCATGATATATCGCATTCAGCGCGGACAGACGAATCGTCGTCGTCGCGCTCGATTCGGAGCTTGTGCATTGTATCGTGTATATGCGTATCAAAAAACTAAGATGCGGGGAGGGGATTGAACGATGCGCTTTTTTCGGTTCGCGTAATCGCGTCGATTCGATGCGCAATGATCGCGCGTGGTATTTTGCGCAATCGCGTCACTTTATGTATCTTTTTTTTTCTTTTATTACCCTCTCGGTTTTTTCTCTATAAAACTCGCGCGCGAACGAGCACGTTCGAGTTTTATGTCACCGCATGAAAAAGCCGGATGGCACAGGTACGAACCGGCATATAGATATCATGACTTCATTCACGTTTTTCTCTGTCTTTCTTCATATTGTGTTCTTTGCTTTTATTTAATTATCTAGCCCCGAGTCTGTATGGAATCCAACTTCTACTTTTCTTCCTTCTTTTTTTCTATCTTTCTTATTCTTCGTCGTCGTCTTCTTCTTCTTCTTCGGGGCCACACGCACAATAGGTTTGTGTCTATATAACAAATAAAAAAAAAAGCACCGTAGCTCTGACTCATCGCTTACACACTATATTGACTCGCGCGCGTCGCAAGTTCGACACAAGTCCGGCGCGCGCGAGCGGCGAAAAAACTACTACTACCAATTGCTACCTGCCAAATCTAGGCCTAGCCCGTGAATCTTTTCTTTTGTGTGTCCAATGTAAACAGATGTAATATATGTATAGATTATTTTTGCGGCTTTGTGTGTCGGTTAAGTAGCCATTCATCACTTGTCAATTTGTTGTCGGAGCTGTTGTACTACTATGCGCCCACGTAACGCCTGTGTTAGTTTATTCTGCTTTTTTTTGTTGTTGGTATTTCCTCGGTGTGTCCAAAACAATGCCACGAAAATATGATACATGGTAAAAATTCAGATTTTTTTTCCTTTTTTTTTACATAATACAATACCGGAACTGCGCAGTTCGCCTATTATAATACACGCATACCGATCGGCACACAAAGAGATGCACGATAATTAGCGAGTATTCGACTGTAAAGGCCCACGCATACATAATATATTGACGAATCATCATCTTCTTCGCCTCTCACACACACACACTAATGCACTTTTATTATTATGACGGTCCATATGCGCCGCGCGATGAAAAATTAATTTCTAAATTCCCTCGAAAAGCAAACAAGCGCCTCCCTTAGACATCGTCTCTCCTTCGATTCTTATTTAATCTCGCAGCGAGAATCTCGCACGCGCGCGCGCGACCCGATCTCTGCTCCGAACAAACTATATCGGCTATCGAGATCGGCATCTTCTAAGCGATCTGCCCTCTTCTCCGCGCGCGCGTGTACGTGTGCAGTCCTCCTCTCGTTTCCCATCGGCTTAAATATACAAGCCACTGAATCGAGCGCTCGTTAAGTTAAGCCGCAGCAGCAGCGAAGCTTTAAAATCGCATCTTCTCTCGCATCTCTTTTAGCATCGCAGCAGCAGCAGCTGTATTATATATGGTGCTTACGTGTGTGTGTATAACGTCAAGGGGCGCGGCACACGCGGGGCAGCACACACACACACACACACACACACACAAATATACTTACACGATTATATAGCCAGAAACAACGTCATTAAAGCTCCGAACGCGTGTTATACGAGCGCAGCAGCGCACGAGATTTAAAATACAACTAAAAAAAAAACAGCAAAAGAAGATGTAAAAAGAAGAAGAAGGGTTGTATATTGTGTGTATGTATAGGAGCGCGTGATGTATAATAATTAATAAGATTTTATCATCGTACGAAATCACAGACTTGGCGCTCTCTCTCTCTATAATACAAGTCAGTGCGTGTATAAGTATGTGTATACGTCTGAATTTTTGAGCTCGTGCTCCGTATCGTGTCTGTATCACGTGTATGTGTGTGCGCACACGCGCTCGCAACGATCAGATCTCCAAGTGATTGTGAATAGAAACATGGCAGACAGCTTGGCTCGGCTCGGCTCGCGCGCTTCTTCTTTCTCTCTCTTTCTTTTACATGTACATCCTATACCTACTTGTATATACGTCGGTGTCAGAGAGGAAGCTCGACTCCGCCACCGGCCTATCCTCTCTCTCTCTCTCCGGGATTCATTTTTGCCCTCACTTCTCTCTCGCTCGATTCTGCTCCGCGTGCATATGATATAGCTCACGAGATATTACGACTGCGAGACTTTTGTCTTGTGTGTGTATAAGGCATTAATAATAACATAAAACGCTGCGCTCGCAGCGGTGTCGGCGGCGAAGCTCTCTGCGGCCGATGGGAAAGTTTTCTCGAGGCTAATTTTTTATAAGCCGTGCGATATATTTCGCGTCTCTCTCGGTGTGTGTGTGTGTGTGTGTATTTCGGCACGTATTATATATTGAATATAAGCGAGAGCGCGCGTCGAGATCGGCAAAAGAAGCAATCCATCAAAACATCATTAACAGCTCGTGGATATCAATTTTTTACTTTATTTTTTTTGTGTATGCATTAATTTTTTTTCTTTTTTTTGCGTATATGTCGCCGCGCTTGATCCTGGAATATTTTAAAAACACACGCGCGCGCGCGCGATAAATTATACACATTGTTACAGAGAGAAAAAGAGAGATGCCGTAGGCGAGATAAGCTCGCTCGAACGCGAATAAACAAGTTGAAAATAGTGGTGTAGTACACGTCGAGGAAACGATGAAATGAAATTCATTTATCAATTCCTCCGCAGATATCCATCTCTCGTTTCTCTCGCGCCCGAGAGCGGCAAATTTATTGTGATATACCTACGCATTTTTACCGAAAAAAAATTATTTAAATCAATTCTCGTTACAAATGTGTGCGTGTGCGTGTTTATACGCGTGTAAAATACCTGCGAAAGTGTGCGATCGAGGTTCGATCGAGATTTTTTTTTTTAGGTAGAAAAACCTGACGAAAGCTCGCGAGCGCTCACACGTGCTCGAAATTATTACTTCACAGCTTGACTCGGATCGGGTATAAATATGGAAAAGACGTGTTATAGCGCGCGAAACGCAACACTCGCGCGAGAGCAATAACATAATAATAATGATAATAATAATAATATATATAAAAGCTTGAAAAAAAAGAGCGTTCCCGAGTTATGTAGCCACTCGCGGTGGATCATTTAAATTTCAAATTGTCTTCCGCGTCTCTCTCTCTCTCTCTCTCCCGCTCGATGATGATAATACGAGTATATATCGCGAGCGTGTATATCGATATATGTGAAAAAAGGCCGAGTAAAACTCGTTTTCTTCGCAATTTTTTCTCTCTCTCTCTCGCTCTTTCCCGAGTGTGTGTATGGCCGTTGCAGCAGCAGCAACTCGCACAAAACGGGCCGCGTGCAGTGCAGTCCAGCAGCAGCAGCATAAAGCAGAGTCGTTAAAATCTGCGCGCGCGCGAGGCAGAGCTCGAGGAATGCGCCGTAAAGCAGAGAGTCGTCATATAACGATGAAAATTATAACGATACGCATGCAAAACTCTGTCAAGCGGCTGTACCTATTTTTACATATATATACGTATACATTATAACTGCGATGCAGCGCGGCAGGTACATCGAACTGCAGTTACTTATTATATATTCGGTTTTTTACGTGCCCAGCGAGCTGCTGCTTCTCGAAAGTTTAAACGTTGATATTGTTGCGTCGCGGGATCATCACCGCCGCCCGCGCGACGACGGCGACGACGACGACGAAGATTACGACTGGAAAAACCGCGAGACGATCAGCGCCGATCGCGCCGTATTATAATAAAACTCGCTGCAGATGCGCGTCAATCGATCCGTGGCGCCAGCGGGCACGAAATCGACACCCATATAATAATACCCGCGCACCACACCACCTCGCGCGTGCATTCCTCGTTATCACGCGCGAGCTGCGTGACAAAAATCAGAGTCCGAGAGAGCGAGATGGAAGAAGACAAAAATAAATATAAAAATGTTTCGCGCGTTTAACTGCGCCGTTTACGCAAAAAAAAAATGTGAAATCGGTACGCGCCTTCGTGTGTGATTTAATTCATTAAAGAATATTTAGCCCGGGAAAGTCTCCTGTGTGCAGCAGCAGCAGCAGCCCGCGCGTGTAAATTTCCAATGGTATTCGGGGCCAAGGCGATCGTATTATTATGTCGCGCGCACGCGATCCTCTCGAGTTTTATGCCGCATCTTGTGTGTGTGTATATATAATACTCATGGATTAATTATCATTATGCACGTTGCCTCTTTTTTTTCTTAAACAAAATTAAACGATCTTTGCACGATCGATATTAATAGCATCATTGTAAAGATACGTACGACGGTAAAAATTAGTATCTAATTACGAGCCGTGCGGCTTACACACATTCGCTATATAATTCCAAATATGAGTATTGCAATTCGATTCCAATTCCAGGCGCTTATTATAGCTCCGAGAGTAAAATGTGTTCTAATGTATACGTTTCTGCAATAGCTCGTGTATAGGTGAAAAATTATATACACACAGCGGCGCGAGTATGAGATTAAATCCGACTTTGATCAGCGAGAATTAATTAGATCTATAACTCAACGACAACGAAGATTAAACGAAAATTCACGCTCGGCTACTCCGCGGCGCGCGGTCGTACGCGCAGATATCGAGCGATCGCTCGATTATAAATATGCGAAAATTGACCTTTCGCGGCGAAATTTTCCATCGACGCGCGTAACTCTCTTTCTCTCGGTGTTATTCGAGCTTTTGCGCGCAGGGAATGATTTCGCGCGACGATCAGTCGCGATGCGTAATCGGCACGGCCGATACATAAACAGGAAAATCGCGGATTTTATTTTTATCTCGCTCGGCCGCGAAATTTGTTACTCCTTGCAGCTGCGATAATCTTTTTCCCGAGTTTCTCCTCAAAAGAAAAAAAAAGAGTTTAAAAATATCTCGGGGATCTCGCGCAATTGCATCATTTGCATCGTGTCGTATTATAAAAGTTCGACGAAATGTGAAAGTCTCGAACATTACAATAATAATCGTATACGGCCGTCGCGTGCGTATAACGAGATAAATATATTGCGGAATTTGCGCGCGTTAAATGTAACGGGAACAAAAGACACGTTAATGAGCTGTACAAACACTCGCTGCGATATATCTAAACAATATATAGCCCCGTGTTAAAGAAGCTGCGAACGATGATGAGCTGCCTGTAAAATTAGTCACGCACACACAAGGCAAACAACACACTGACACACATATAATACACACACACACAGGTAATATATATGCGCGTTAATTTTTTTCTTCTTCCTTTTTTTTTTTGCTCGGCACCAAACTGTCTAGTGCTGTTGATCGTATATTATAACGTCACACGTGTATACATACATACACATCGAGAGAGTCGAGTGCTGTATCAATAAATGCTCTCCTTTTCTGTGCCCCGTCTGTCTGTTCGTCTGTCGCGCACATCTGACATATGGTATGTTGTGGATGACGAATCGCGTTGTTTTTCTCGGCAATTATCGCGGAGCTTCGTTCTAAATCTGCTAATTTCTCGCTTCTATTCGCAATTTTCGAAAATATTTTTCTTCTCTTTGTGTCACGTGTGTAACTTGCTTTATTATCATTATTGCAGGAGTGGGCAGCGGGGCAAAAGTAACTCGACGATGCGTCTGACGCTGTCGCCGTCGCCGCTGCTGCTGCTGCTGCTGCTGAGGCTGATGCTGGCGGCAGCGATGGTCTCGCTGCTGGCGAACGCCACCGAAATGAACATCAACGTCAACACCAACACAGTCGGCCTCAACGACAACAACAACCTCAACAACACAAGAAGTCGATGGCGGACCACGCTGAGGTCGCACAACAGGAGCATCATCATCGAGGATAAGAGTCACAGCGATCATCATCATCACGACCACGAGGATGAACGCGACATCGACAGGAGCGGGGATAATATGAGCGACAGCGACAAGTCCAAGATCGTGGAGAGCCTCGAGGCCAGTCTGCTGTCGATGCTGGGCTTCAAGCGCATACCGAGGCCCGGGCAGAGGCGCGTGGGCAGCGCCCACATACCGGAGCGCATCAGGGCGCTGTATCAGCGACAGAAGAAGCTCGACTCGGTGGACGTGGCGAAGCCCGGCATGAACGTCGCCAACGCCAACACCGTGAGGACCTTCGTGCACGAAGGTGAGAGACTTTCTTTATAACATAATACTTTGGGGGTAAAGTAAAAAGCTCTCGGAGCTTGCGACGATGCAATGCGCTTGGACGCGGGTGTGTGCGTAAAATATCGATGGCATTTGAGTCTTTTTATTTTCTTCGTTAATGCGACATTCGTATACGTTTATGACGTCATGAAGCGCAATTTTTCATTTTTCTCACTCTCGATCTACGTATGTGTATGTATATGATATGCTGTGTGCCGCGTAAGCCGCGAGCAGCATACCGCGAGAACCTGTTTTGATAGAGCTGCATATTTCTGCGATCGGTATGTCGGTGACGATTATTGTTGAAAATTTTACTGGAAATTCATTTTTTCAAGCATGAAAAAAGATCCCACACTTCCCCACGTAGGTCTTATTTTATCTTAATTTATCTTCCTTATCTCCTTTTTATATAACACACGCTGAAATCGATTAACAGATTCTAAGAATTTGATTTTGGCCCCTAACAAGAACCCTAATTTCGCTGACTTAATCTATGTATCTAGACAACTCTAAAAACTACGTTTGATGTTCAGTAAAATACGTTCATAACGAGCTTGCATACAACGAAAGCTCCGAAACAGCGAACACATCAAAAATTGACCAAAATTTAATTGTTATGATTGTTAATAACAAATTTTAAAAATTAATAATAGTTTTGCAAGGAAATTATTCAAATTGTATTAAGAAACGAAGATAAGTAAAAATACATCGTTTAGTCTCTTCGAAAAGTCAGTTCACCTTGACAAATATGTTTGAGAAATACCGTGGTCCTCCGCCAGATGGCTTTATCTTAGTTTTCAAGAAACCCGCTTACGAAGTAACAAGGAACGGTACTCATATGAAAGTACCTATTTTCCCCAGGTATAAATTATTGTTTTCCTATATTATATTTATCTAGATATTTATCTAGAGTTAGTATATTTATCTTCAGCACTGGGTCCTCAGCATCATAAATATGTATTATTACTGTTCCAAAGTCTCAGTGATGCGCACAATTTTTATAAGAATTCAATGATAAATATAATAACTCGCACATTAGAGCCGCCGATCGCGAATGTATCAAATTTTATTTACGTATCCGGACACTATATTGCGTCAATACCTTGAATACGCGATTATAATAAGCTCGCGCGCGTAAATTTCACGCTGCAGCATGCACGAGCGCGAAAAAATCAAAGAGCAACGATTCGGTGCATATTTACCAGCTGAAACTAGTTTGCGCTGCTCGTTGCGTCGACATAATAATATAAAAGTGTGCACTTTTCGATCTATCTTTAATCGGATTAATGAACGACACCGTCGAGCCATATGTAACAGGTGCATTATTGTACACACCCGTATCGTGTAACCGATCTATATTAATGGCACATATCGTGATCATTCGCGTGCAGAGCTTAAAAATTTATTTCGAGATAATTGTCGAACTCAATTTTACTCTGATCTGCATATTTATAGTATATAGATGGCAAAAAATCGACAACTAGAGCATAATTAGCGGAATCGCAAGCAAGACAATACTTTTGCTCCATTTGATGTTAGCCGCGCTTCAAAACACAAATTCCTATAATTTTACCAACTCGATATAAAATACACACGTAAATACGTCTTACAAGTTTCTCATATCCACGTTTATATATTCATGCCACACACACGCACATCAGCAGCGACAGCAAAAATCTATCGATCGGATTTCATCGCGAATTCCTTTCATGCGCATTGTGTGTATATAAAGAGAGAAAGAAGAAGAAGAAGTAGAAGAAGAGCCCGCGAATACCGGAAATATTCTCTCAACTTCTGAAACGAGTGTGTGCGAGCCTATATAACTCGATAACGGAAAGAGCATCGACAGCTTAAAAAGTAATGGTCGCGCGCCGCAGCGGCTCTCGTCTCTCGTCTCAGCAGGAGCTTTTTCGGGACCCGCAAAAAACATAATAAGATATATGTATAAAGCCGTCAGAAGTATCGGTTACCGCAGGCGCCGGGGCTTAATACAGCTTATATACAGCTTATGTGTGCTGCTGCTGCTGGCCGGCCTCTTTCTCAAAGTAGTATACACACAGGCAGAGAAAGAAAGAGAGAGAGAAGCGCATTTCGTCGCTCTCTGAGAAAACGAGCCCATAGGTAGGCAGGTAATATAACGTGTTGATTTTTCGGTGAGAAGCCGCGCGCGCCATTGGTTTATTCCGATTGGACTCTCCCACACATGTACAAGCCCGTAATAAACACGTGTTTCTCTGTCTGTCTGACTGGCTGTGGTGTGTGTAGATGTGTGTTTGTGTGTGTCCGCAGGATCCACAACGAGATGAGACCTCGTTACCACCATCGGCGCACACGAGATCGGGGATTAACTATAATAGTCGTATAGTGTCTTGTTTTTTACCTGTCGTATTATTTGCTCTCTCTCTCTCTCTCTGTCTCACGACTCCTCGAGACGCGAGAGATGAATCGGTTCGTTCTTCTTCTTTTTCATTTGGCACGAAGATACTTGGCAGCTCCTCTTTACTCTTTTTAACTCGCTGTCGGTATAATACGTTTACGATTATAACCTTCGATCGAGCTTTTTATTTGTATAAACTCAGACGCACTTGATTCAACTATCGATCAGGCGTGTCGTTGTTAATATTCATTTTATTATTATTTTTTTTTTTTCATTATTCGCTCGATCGGCGTTGCAAATAAAATTGTATTTCATGTAAACTTATACAGTTGCATAAATTAATTATGCAGAAGTATAAAGAAATTGAAGTTGAAAAAATTTGACGAACAACGTTGGAAAAGCTCCCGATCGATCAATAATATGAACGTAATTAGATCACGTCGTGTTTCGCAACGAAAAAAATTTGTATGATAAAATTAATTAAATCGTTAACGATCAAATCAATTTATGAGAAAATCGGCAAGTAACGGCAATATCGTTAGCAAGGAAACTTTTCAGATTTATTGGAAGTCCGCTCGATGAAATCTCAAAAAATTCTTAGTTCAACTTTTTTCTTCTTTTTCTTCTTCTCCTTTTTTTTCATGTTTCAACGATTTTCCACAAACGCGACTAACCAGCGTGACTCGCGTTTGGTCTTCTTTCGTTCTTTCTTTCTTCGTCCTTTTTTTTGCCCCTGCGCGTAAAAAGTAGCCCAGGCGCGCGCGCTTCGCTCACAGCTACTTATATATATAGCTGAATTCCTTATTCTCCGGTCCCACAAAAGGATTGGTTATTCGATCATTTTCCGCAATTCGACTGCCGAGAAAAAGGCCAGCGAGCATAACTATATCGCGCTCTTCTCTACGACTCTCTGCCGCTGTACCGTGCGGACTACCCCGGGTCTCGTTCTCAGAACTTATTCATCAAATATAATATCTTCTTCAAAAGCTATATAATGCGAAAGATAATATCTTCCTCTTCGACTCTCGCATTTTTATTTGTTGTAGGTAGTAGTCGTAGTAGTAGTAGTAGTAGTATAATAAGCACGGTAAGCCTGCCAGATCCTCGCGTCGTGCTCTCTCGCGCATATGTGTGTAATAAAATGGAAATTCATTACTCGCGCGCATGGCCCCGCGAGATCGTAACGTGCTTTAATTATCATAACGCACTTTTAGCATATTTCTCATAAGAAACGCGTCGATGAGTTTATCGTTATATAGCTGCCCGCGACTGCACGAAGAGGTATAATAATACACTATATTACACACGTGTATCGAGATTTTTTTTTTTCATTCATTCGTTAACCCGAAAAATCAACACACATTATCCGCGCGCAATATATATACTAACGGATAATTGAGACGAATGGCATCTTAAGCGCGTGCGAACCTTTTTTTTTCTCTTTCCCTCTCCGTCTCGTTCTCTCTATGTACACGCGCACATAGTAAGTCTTTCTCTTTTGCAAAAGCTTATTATCGTCAAAGAGAGCAAGAGTCAGCATCGAAGCTGAGTGTATGTGTGTGTGTGTGTGCAACAGCAGCATAAATCGCACGGAGAACAATGAAACGACGCACGAGAGACAGAGGGAGAGAGGGAGGGAGAAAGAGAAAAAGAGACCGGGTGGTCTTCGGGTTTCGAAAAACGCGCCCGCGCTCGGCTCGGCTCGCTCCTGCTCTGCCTTCGCGCTCATGGGGATAATATATTATATCAGTGGATAATGGATTCCGCTTACCGCACAATTTGCCCCGAACTTATATAGGGGGGCCGTCCTCTCTACCTCCTCCTCCTCCTCCTCCTTCGTCCTCTTACTCTCTCACTCACTCTTAGCTTCAAGCGGCTTTTTATCCTTAACTTTTTTTTGCCTTCGTTTTGCGCTTCTCTCTCTCTTTTTACTCTCTTATCCTCTTGTCTCTCTCTCTCTCTCTTTTTTTTACTCTCTTTTCGTTCAACTTTGGGCAAAGGAGCTCGGCCCCATACTTTCTTTATATATTTATGCACACACACATGCTTACATGTAGGTATATGAGTGTACGGGGTCCACTCAGACGCTCAGACTGCGAAAATTACCCTTTTGCCGCAGAGCTAGCTCGCGCAAGCACGTGTGCTGGATATACGTGCACGTACACACGTGTACTCACACACACGCGCGCACAGATATAACCGTACGAGCGAACGAGGTAATAACTAGGTCCATGCCAAAAAAAAAACGTTTTGTTTCGTCCTCTTCATCCTTTTTTTACAAAAGCGAAGGGCTGTTTATATGACTTCTTCTTCGTCGTTCGTTCGTTTGGCTGCCGCTTAAGTCGGCCTTTAGCTACCACCGCTGTTGCTGCGGCTGGACGAAATTGAATTGTCAAAAGTTTAAGGCATTATAACGAAGCGCTGCTGCTGCTGCCGTCGTTGCACACCACCGCGTGTATACATTTAATAGTCATTTCTCTCCCTCGTCATTTATATCTTCATATTGCTGTAGTACTAAATGCGCTTTTTGCATTAGTTATATATACAGCAATAATAAGCTTATGCGCGTCGCGCGCGTAAACTTAAGTAAACAAGAAATTTAAATGAGTTAATAGCTTCTCTCGACGTCTGTTTGTTGTTGCTGCTCCCGCGCCGATGGTGGCGCATAACTGCAACGCGTTCTAATTCGATTTGACATTGCCGATCGCACGCCGATGTGCTTACATTAAGTATAGCACATAATCGAGCGCGAGTCGTTGGCGCGTGTTATGTCAATCTTCATTAAAAGCGATTGGGTAAAGCTCCTCGAATTTCAACACACACACGCAGGCCGCGCACACAATAATATAACGTGGACTGCTGCACAAACATTATAGGCTACAACACGCGGCTGAAGATCGATAATGAGTACCGCTTATAATAAATGCGCCGCACGCGTAGATCGTGTAGAATATTTATTTTATACGGACGAAACGATAATTATACGATATCTGTGCGCGTAACTATTATTAACATTTTGTACATATAGTAAGACGTTTATTAGAGCCGGTACACGTTACAATATGGAGAAGCCGATTTAATCGTACGAGTAATGAAAATTTTCATCAACAATTGCGCGCGTAATCGAACTCGCTGATTCTCCTTTTCTTTTTTCATATTATTGACTTTTTGACATCGATTCTCTCTCGCTGAATCGTGTGTGCCGCGAGCTCCTTTTTTTTCTTCCTCTCTCGCGCTCTTTGCTCTTCTCGTTTTAACGAAATTCTGGACGATCGCGTGCGATTATACCACACCGGGAGATAGTGTATATACCTGTGTGTGTATGCGTCTGCAAATGCGTGGTATACTCCTACCCTATAGGGAATTTCGGCAGCAGATTCCTCTTTGCCGCGCTCTCTCTCTCTCTCTCTCTCTCTCTCTCTCTGAATAAGTATGTATATATAAACGACCTTGCATTTTTTTCCTTTGATGATGTTGCGCTGCTGTTGCTGCTGCTACGCTGCGACTCTCGAGCCGGCTTGTGTAGCTGCAGAGTCGAGAGTCTCGAGAGCGCAGGAGAGTGAGAGAGAGAGAAAAACGAACGAATAGCATATTGTACACTTATATGCATGCTCAAGCTCTCTCACGACGAGCGACGACGATGATAATGATGATGATGATGATGATGATGATGATGATGAGAACGGCGCGCGCGTTCTAATTTTTGACGTTTTCATCGACGAGAGAGAGAGAAAGAGAGAACCGGCCGCAAAGTGTGCATAGGAAACACACACACACATACACGAATTTAATGACAGGGTCGTTGTTGCGTGCGTGGGGGATATTTCGGCGTTCGAGACTTTCGGGCATCAGAAGCGCAGCACGAGCGCAGAAGAATGAAGCTGGAAAAAGAAAGATTAAAAAATAAAATAAAATATAAAGAGAGATGGAGAGAGAAAGAGAGAGAGAGAGGGAAGTGATTCTTGTGAGGTCTTTGATGATCGTCCTTAATACCTGTACAGTAATAAACTGCGTTTCTCACTGCGGACGATCGTTAGAGAAAATGAGTATTCAAATTTTCGCGCGCGTGCAAGTGGCTCGTAGTACGAGTACAAAATTTAATCGAAGAATGAGAAAAAAGAGGAGATCCTCGAGGATCGATCGCCCGCGGGAGCTTCATTGATATTTTCACGATTGCCCAACGATTGATTTTTGCCGTGACGATCATCGCATCGCACATCGCGAATATAGCCGCGGTTATAAAAACCCCCGAGCGCAATCGTAACGGACTCGATTTGCCTTTTTTTCACACGGGTCATATAAAGCGGAGCGAAGAGCATAAAAATTAAATTCATGATTTATAATATATTTAGGCACGCGGCCTCTCACGGGACAACCGCAAAAAGTTCCTTCTCTAACGTTCGTAAAACCAAAGGAAAAAAAGAAAAATAATAATTTTCGAAAGCATCGAAGTATAAGGAACATTGAAGGTACAACCGATAAAAAGTTAAAATGCCTCGTATACATATGGGACCGCGCGCGGCGCGTTTATACTTCCCAAGCATGGCTCGCCTCAAACATCTATATATACCTATATCTATATATCTCACGGTAATTTGCCTTGTGGTGAAATTTGAATATTGAGTCATCATTAGTGTGCGTGGCCGGGCGCGCGCGCGCGCGCTTGCATACCTTCGCACACACACGCGAGCAAAAAAAAACGAACTGCCCCACGCTCGAGAGAAATTTTACGTTTTTAAAAGCGTTACGGCAAATTTGCGTTGTATGCGCGCGCCGACTAATTGCTTGTAACCCTTGAAAGAATATTGAACTCCTAAAAAAAATGTGCCAAATTATTGTTGCATAAATATATTAAAATGCGCGTGTTTCTTTTTCTTTCTGATTGCAGAGAGCGAGATCGACGACAAGTTCAAATCGACGCATCGCTTTCGGCTGTGGTTCAATCTGAGCAGCATACCGCAGGAGGAGAAGCTCAGGGCGGCCGAGCTGACGCTCAGTCGAGTCTCGCTGCAGGTGCAAGACGACCTGGAGGACGACGTCGAAGTGGAAACTAACGAAATTAACGATAATAATTATAAGGATAACGATAACAACGCGACTCGTACTAGTTATATTAGCAATAGAAGCTGTAATGATAATAAAAGTAATAATAATAATAATAAAAATAATAGTAGTAGCAAAAAGAGAACGTCGAGTAGCGACAGTAAAAAGCATCGCTACGTCAGGCTGATGGTGCACGACATCGTCAAGCCGGGCGTGCGGGGCAAGAGTCAGCCGCTGCTGCGACTCATCGACAGCAAAGTCCTCGACATCAGGTCGAACGAGACGGTCAGCCTCGACGTCGGCCCGGCCATCGAGCGCTGGATGGCCGACAAGGCCCAGAATCACGGCCTGCTCGTCCAGGTAAATATTTTTCGATACAACCTCGGAAAGCTTCCGCTTGTCCACGAGTAAATTTATTAACGTTTTTTCGTTTTCGTTTGATTTTTTAAAGATAACGGGAGCGGCGGTGAAGCCCGACGGCCCTCACCACAAAACGGAGCACGTGCGTCTGCGGCGCAGCTTGCGCAACGACGAGTCCCAGGACGGCTGGCAGCGCAGCCGACCGACCCTCTACACGTACACGGACGACGGCCGCAAGAAGATGTCGACGGCGAGCGACATAATGGAGCGCAGAGCCCGGCGAGCGGCGCTGCGCAAGAATCGCCGCAAGGACGGCCGCGAGAACTGCCGCCGGCATCCGCTCTACGTCGATTTCGCCGACGTCGGCTGGAACGACTGGATCGTCGCGCCGCCCGGCTACGACGCCTTCTACTGTCACGGCGACTGTCCCTTCCCGCTGGCGGACCATCTGAACTCGACGAATCACGCGATCGTCCAGAATCTGGTCTACTCGACGAATCCGGCCCTGGTGCCCAAGGCGTGCTGCGTGCCGACGACCCTCGGCTCGATATCCATGCTCTATCTCGACGAGGAGAACAAGGTCGTCTTGAAGAATTATCAGGACATGTCGGTGCTCGGCTGCGGATGTCGTTGAAGAAAAGAAAAAATGTTACTTTGTCGTGGCAAGAGTGCACGAGTGATAATATAGAAAAACGACGAAAACTATAACATGGATTGCCGCAGACGCACCGACGAAGAAGACGACGAGAGTATATGAAGAAAATAAAGACAAAAGGCCAAAGCGATGACGACGATGCGACGATAAATATATTATAGACGTGTGTGTATGTGTGTGTGAGTGAAGATGCACCTCGACGTGCAGCATACCTGTGCGTGTGCGTATCGAGGCGTTGTTTATCTATCTTTTTTATCCTCTTGTTTTTTCTATTACTCTTTTTTGTGTAACACGTGTTTATATATTGTGTGCGCGCGTGCGGTGCCTGTCGTATATATTTTTCTGCAGTTTCAAACTAACAATTTACATTCAAGCGTATCTCGTGATTGTACATATAGTTTTTCCAATTCTTCAGAGAGCCGCCTTGTATATAACCCACAGACAGATTAATCCGAAGAAGAGTCACGTTGTCGTTGCTGCGTTGTTGTTGTTTGTCGCTCACTGCACGGGCGAGAGAGAAAAGGAGCTCGACGTGAACGCAAAACGAGAATAGAAAGAGCACGACGAGCCGAGAAGAGAAAAGAGATAAGATATATACGCCTTCTTCTTCTTTCGCAGCTCCTCCGATCGTTAAACACACACACACACGGGCAGACACGATCTGGCCGCGAGTAAACCTTCCATACGTTCACTCGAGCTCGAACACTATGTATGCAGCAGCAGCAGCAGCAATGCGTGCTACATTCATGTGTTTGTGTGCGTATGTATAAATGAGTGAGCTAAAGCGAGGTAAATCCTCGAAGCTTAATAAATCGCGACTTTTTCTCTCTCTCTTTCTCTTATGCGTGGACGATATTGTATGTGCGCACCAGCGTCAGCGATCGATTGTGGTATTTACACAGCTTGATTACCCGTGTACAAAACACGACTCTGGACAATTTTTACAATCGGAAGTAAAAGAGAGATAGAGAAAGAACATCCCTAAATCGCACTATCGGAGAAAAAGAGAGAGAGAGAGAGAAAAATACCAAAAATATTTAGCACTCGGAGGATCGCGAGGGCTGCAATGTATACTGAGTGCGCTCGCGTATACACTTGAGACACACGCGCACACACGTATACGCACGCATTTATGAGAGAGATAGATATAGATAGAGTGAAAGACAGAGAGAGAGAGAGAGAACGAAGAAAAGAAAAGAATGAGAAAAGACGACGCTAAGAGTAAAAGAGAGAGAAGAGTTGCGTCGCTCTCTCACTCGTTCTCGCGAGATAGGCGAAGAAGCCAAACCTCCTTGGGACGCGTATAATTTATTAATAAGGCTGCCTGCGAGAAAACCGGTATAGATTTATATAGTTTCGTTTGTGTGGATCGTTCATGTGTGTATGTGTGTGTGTGTGTGCGAGTCAAGCCAAGCTCGCTCGCACAAATCCGTGAATATGTGTGCGTAGCGCATTTATCGAGGAATGGCTGCGAGAGATTCCGAGTTCTGAGCCGCGCAGAGCGCTGAGCGACGATATTATATGCGTTAATGTGCGTGTAAGTAAGTAAGTATGTATGTAAAAAATAGCGTCGGAAAATCGTGGTGTATGTGTGATATGTATGTTAGTGCGGAGAACCTAAACGAGTCAGGAAACGGAACGATGAAATTTACCTGTACAGAAAATATTCATTTGTGCCGATACAAGATCGATTTGGCCATCACGGGTGTGTGTAAGTATGATAAATGTGTGTAAATTTTTTGTAATCGAGATTTGAGTGATTTTTTCTAAGCTATGCGCGCGTCAAGCTTTAATGTATAGAAAATGGTGAGTGCGTGAAAGAGAGAAAGTGCCCATTCCCTGCTGCTGGTTGTGTGTGTGTACGTTGATATCGAGTCAACTTACGTCACGAGTAGAAAAAAAAACGTCAAAAGCGAGCTATTTATTAATTATTGTACAGTAAATACCAAGCTTAACCCCCCGCTCTCTCTAATAGGGCACTGTCGAGTGTTTTTTTCCACTGGTCGTGAAAAATGTATCTCGTGAATTTTGTAGGATGTCCATATTATATAATGATATGTATGTATTAAGTGACGCACAAGTCAAGACTGCACTTTATATTATTGTATACACGAATTTTTACGCGAATATATTACGAAAGATAAAAAAACGAAATAAAATATGTAACGTGTACCACGCGTCGCGTATAGGGTGCCATCTTGATCATTAATCATTAACATTTAATCATTAAACTATTATACTTTATTACCTATCGATTAATGCTGATTAATATTTACTTTTTAATTCGATGTGGATTTTTCATTCATGTGAATATTTTTAATTATAGAGTTAACGATTTAATTTTAATAGGAACATTTTTTTTCATTGTACGATATTGTGTAATGTATACTTGTAAAGCGACGTGTTATGTTTTATTTTTATTTTAACTTTTTTTTTGCGAGCGCCGTCGAGCGCTTGAAAAAAAAAATTGAAAAAAAATTTAGCAACCGCATGTGAAGCAAAAAATGCGTACTATTATAATTTTTAATGTATAAAATATGCATATCGTTGTTGAGAGGCAAATTTCAATTGTTTCGTATAACAATTGACACGCACGAGTCAAATACCCCCAATCCCTCCCTCCTCTTCCCAATTTTACCCCCTCCCCTCGCCCGTACGGAAATTATTGTAATTATATAATGTAACGATTAGGTTTTTATTCTTGTGTACACATTGTAAATAGCGTGAAAGGGAAGTGCGAAACAAAAGTGTAAATTATTACTGCGTTTATATATGTAAAACTAAAATAATATTTTTAAATAAAAAAAAGTATATTATATGATAAACGAAAGAAAAAAATTAACGAATCTAATAAAAAATGTATAAAATACGACAAAAGAAGAATAGAATTTTTACATCTCACAAGTCACAGAATTGCGTATTGTTTTATAAATATTATTTTCATTTCCTTTTTTTTTATGTTTTTTTTTTTTTTTTTACTATTACAATTGCATATAGTCAAAAATATGTTGAGACACTCGATGTAGAAACATATTTATAGCGAAAGAAAAACACAAAATAAACTTGGAATGGTTATATAAAAAACTATTGCTTGAACTCCTTGTCATTTATTCATTCGAAAACACCTTCTGTCTCGTCGTCCGTCCACCCCGAACGAGCGTCTGTAATGGATCCCGCGGATGTTTTGATCGATCGCTGTGACGCACATCGCAGCTTATAAGATGCAGCACGGCACATAATGGAAAATTTGCCGCGCAGCGGAGCCGATCGAGGCGCGAGAAAATCGTCTCTCGATCTCTCTCGTTATATATATTTTACATTATACACATCGGCAAAGTGGTATAGACAACACTTGCACACATACGCACGCACATGTCTATGCATTGCTGCAGTGTATACAAGTACAGCAGCAGCAGCAGCAGCAGTAGCAGCTTCCAAGCCAAGGAGCAGGCTTGCCTTGATGCATCAGCGGTGGAGTATTCTCGCGTCGTTAATTTATTCCCCGCGGGGCATGTACACATACCGCGAGTAACAGCGGCAGCAGCAGCAGTAGCTCTCTGATATACACCCTATCTCTTTTCTCTCTCTCTCTCTCCTTCTGGAGTGGCAACGTTGGCCGGTAGTCGCGCACACGATATAAAGCCACTGGAAAAGCCGAGAGTGCAACGACGTATGCATTATAATAATAAAAACCTGAAGCCGATTGCCGATCACGGGTAAGCGACCTTTTATACCCATCGCCATTATCATTGGATTCCGTTCGATTGTAATTTCGATCGCGACCAAATTTTTCAGCCCAATCTATTACACGGTAATTTTTCAGGATCACTTCGTGTACGATACGCGAGTTACAATACGTGAGCTATATAACCTTGAGAGAAAGACGACGATGTACCGTGCGCAGATCTCGAGTCCCGCGTGGTGATACACACTATTAAAGCTGCGCACCACTACTGCTGCAGCTCGACTTTATAACACGCGAAGCTTATTATCGCCTTGATTGTGCCGCGCACCATTATTATACCTCAATTCGCTTTCTTGTTCTCTCAGACTCGTATAATAGTGGTCGCGTCGAGCGATGATCACCCAGTCAAAGCGTATTATACAGTAGGTACATCATACTCAAATCGTTACGACGCGAGTAACTTAAGCGACGTTAAGACCGATTCCATGAAACAATACGTTCTTGTTTTTTGGCTTCCTGCGCGAGAAAGCACAGCAATAGGCTCGAGGACGATTTCTTTTTAACCCGATGACGCAGAATAGTTTTGTTTACATATATTTGAAAACTAGGTAGGATTTCCGCCGATTTGGTTCGTTTTATTGCTGATTGCGACGAGGTTCAGAAAATTTATTTTGTGCTGAAACGAATTGATTTTCTTCTACAATTTTTTACAAATTTTTGTATTTTTAGTTTTTTGCAGAGTTCGGCAAGAAGCTCTTTGCCACTGATAATCATGAACTTTGGAAAAATTGCAATTTCAGACCTTTGAAAAAAAGCAAGGAACGGTCTCAACAATTATTGTATTAACAGTTAAGGATATGAAAGAAAAGCTTTTCATAAGAACAAGAACTTCCGTTAGAATACTGGATTACCCAGAGAATCAATCGTATATATAATATACGAATTTAATCCAAGGTTATAAGCTTGACTCTACTTTGTTGATCAAATTTAAACGATTATTAAAAAATGATGTTTTTCAATCGTTGAACACACGGTATGCTTTGCATCGAGTTGGCTAAATTGACATTATATTCAGGCTTTTTTATGAACGATTGATGTTGTTGAATTTTCAGCGTTTACAGGAATCAGTTGTGGGATCGGGATGTGAAGGTTCCAGAGCGAGTATTTTATACTAGAATAATGATAGAGCGTTTTTATTTCATTTTCTTTAAAAATATGAGTAGATGGTGTTTTACAATTACGACAAAATGAATAACACAGTTTGAAAAGTTTGAAATACTTTTTTTTTCATGAAAATGAAAGATATTGATGAAAAAGATTTTTCTAGCGTTTCCACGTGTTTGTTGCCATTTATTCAAATTCACGCTTCTATGGTTAGTTCCTATTGTGTACCTTCATTTCAGCATAATGTACTGAATTTACATGTGATTTGAAATAACATTTTTATTCAAGTGATTGGTAGCATAACTCACATTTGAAGGATTTTTGCAATTATGTGAATTTTAAGGTTTACTTTTTCTCCAAATTATCTGTGAGCTTCAAAGGTTTGCTTCTTATATGTACTGCATTTATGTGACGATTGAGGGTCACCTTTCTGTCCAAATGATTTTTGACAAATCTCACATTCAAAGGGTTTGCTACGATTATGTACCGTCATTTTGTGACTTTTGAGTACATTCTGGTATCCAAATGATTTTTGACAAATGTCACATTCGAAGGGTTTGCTCTGTTTATGTACTGCATTTATGTGTCTATTGAAATTACTCTTTTTTCCAAATGATTTGTAACAAATCTCACACTCGAAGGGTTTGCTCTGATTATGTACTGCATTTATGTGCTTATTTAAGTAACTTTTTTGTCCAAATGTTTTGTGACAAATATTACATTCAAAAGGTTTGCTCTGATCATGGACTGAACGTGTGTGTTTATTTAGATTACCTTTACGTGAAAATGATTTGTGACAAGTCTCACATTCGGGTGGCCTAATACTCTCATGTGTCATATCTATAGGTATTTCCAGAGTAGCTTTTCCTTTATACGTTTTTTGACGCAAGTTTAAATTATGGGATAATTTGGTTTTAATTTTTTTATTAATTATTTCCACTTTCTTGGATTTATTTAGCTTCAATCGGGACTTTCCTTGAAATAGACTTCTGTTATCGGAATCGAAATTTTTTTTTATCAAAATGATTGGACTTTTTTCTATCAAGTGACTGGTTTGAATTTTGTTTTCTAATTTCACAAGAGGTAGGCAAGTTTGATACTCAGTTTTGCAATTTTTTTTTGATAAAGGCTTCAATTCAGGTTTAACATATTTGAACTCAAAACCTACGTATATATTTTCTTCGGACTTTTTGGGTAAATTACTATCCTCATTCACGCGATTTGCCTTAAATTAAAATTGTTAAATAGTTTTTGGTTGTAAAAAACATAACATAAATCAAATGATTGAACTCACCGGTGATTCATGAAACGGGGAGATTTTAAAGTTTTTAACTTCGCAAAAGATCTCCGAATCGAAATTATAATCTTCACCTAGATCTGGCCAAGTATCATTCGGCTCCTCCTTCACCCTAAATAATCAAGTCAATTTGATGACGTCTGATAAAACGGTTACTTAAAAAATTATCATGGCATGATTGTAAAATAGTTATACCTAATTGTGTCTTCTTTGTTTTCCATAACTCGATCGTTGTATGTACTCGGACTGAAAAATATTACGATGGACACTGTGAAGATATTTGAGGTTAAACTCCTTGAGTAGTCAACGCCGTACCTCGAAATTTGGTAGAGACTTATACTTTTTTACAGATATTATTTATAAACACTTGCTTACTAAGGAATTTTCTCTCAACAACTGTAGAACACTATCTTGTAAATTATCGAGGAGATCCCGTGATATTGTGATAGCTCCTTGGTGATACTCTCTCTCCTCTTATCGTCTACTCGAACTACGCAGTTATGTATTGAAATTTGTATTGACTCAAATGTGTTGTCATTTATCCAGGCGCACAATGGACTTAGTACCTCGCTTGCAATTTATGAGGAAAACAAAGAAATCTCTGAAGACACACCGATACAGTACATAATGTGGATATTAAAAATGAAGTTCAATCAGGCATCGAAGCATTAAATGGTAGGTACCATAGATAAAGTATCTACATGTATTTGTTAAATTTCATTATACTTATTAGTGAATAGACGTTAGCTTTAAAAAATGTCAATCTCAGTTCTGAATCAAGCCTCAAACTTTTTTACTAAAAATTGTAACATTTTTTGGAAAAAAAATATCAGCAGCAGGTGGCAATACGTTTCACTTACAGCTACACTACAAGCAGGCCATGACACATTTTTTGTATTTTTTTATTTTTTTTCAACGATATTGTTGCTTGATACTCTTAATAAATAAAATACTAGCATAATTACTAGATCATCGGGCGGAATTAAAATCATTGCGTTGCATCAGTAACCAAAAAAAAAAATAAATAAACAAATAAAACAATAATAAAACGATTTTTGAATTCCACGATCGACCCCTCGAAAAAATGCGGATAATTCCGCAAATTGACTGGCCTCCCCGAGCTCTGCGTGCCGCGCGATCTTACAATTGTACTCGGTCGAGCTACCGTGTGTGCGCGCCACCAGCTATTATAATAAGAGCAAAAGGCGCGAGAACGAGAGATCGCCGCAATAACAATTGTTGTAATGCGGCGGTGGGGGTGGGAGTCGATCGATCGCACGCCGTTGTTCAAACGCGAGCTTTACTCGCTCGCGCGCGCGCGCTAACCGTATTATCTCTTTTTTCTCGCCATGGAAATTGTTTCGTAATGAGAGCCGCGAGAGTAAGAGAGTCCCGCGATGCATCGCATACAAAATGAGCTCGTGCGCCTTTGCTCCGATACATATGCATTCGTATCGTGTATGTATAAGAGTGTGTGTGTGTGTGTGTCTTCTTGGGCTCTTTGTTTTAAAGGCAGCAGAGCTTCGAAAAAAACAACAAGAAAAAAGAGCAAAAAACAAAAACAACAAAAAAAAACGGAGAATGTGTGCGTGTGTGTGTATCGGTGTGCAGCAGCACGTCGAAGGAGCGAAGGAGGGGGGTTGAGAATCCTTTAGCGTGCCATATAACATCGGCAGCAAAGCTTCTCAGGGGAGAGCCGCAGCAGAATCGTTATATACGTACGTGTGTGTATTATATGTATGTGTGTGTCTGTCTGTCTGTGTGAGTATGTATATATATTATAAGTACCTTTGCCCACACAGGTTGAGAATGCGGTCCGCGCGGCTCTTTCCTTCTCCGTTTCGCGCTCGCAACTCGCAAGCCCACCGGCAACACAGACACACAGACACACGCATATCTGTGTGTGTGCTCTACACTAATTTGGTATTCTCTTTCAGCATTTATATGTGTATACCGGTATTAATACACGTGCATTAGCTAAAGCTCGTGCTATTTCGTCCAAAGGATATACTACTACCTATAAGCGGCGAAAAAAATTAGTTCACGATACAGAGCGAGGCATTTAAGGCCTAATATTCCGGGGCAGATCGATCGTGTGTATAAGTTGTCAACTCGTTTATCCTCGCGCGCATTATCATCATTATTATTATATATACCAGCGTGCAGGCAGCAGCAGCAAGCGGTTAATGATGCGACACGATTATCTTCGTCGCTCTTCGGCTCGCGCGCGCGCCTATATACTTAAACATATTATAAACGCGCGAGCGGGGGGATGATGATGACGCTCGCTCAGATCGGATATCTCTGCTGCCGCTGTTGCGCGCCTTATGGCAATTCACAAACGCTCTTGCGCGGCAGAGAAGAGAGAGAAGTGCTCACAGATCGAGATGGCCGAGAGAGAGAGAGAGACGACTACATCGGCATGGACGAGAACAAATAAAAAAAAAGGAACAACACAAAAATGAAGAGAGAGAGAGAGAGAGAGAAAAAAAAATCAAACGGGAACGTGGAAGGAGTCACAGTATTTTTCTCTCTCTCGCTCTATCTCTCGAGGAGATGCAGAGAAGGACGACGACGATACGTATAAGAGAGAGAGAATGAGGAGCTTGTGAAGCAGCGCGCGACTTAATTGAGCGATCTTCTGGTCGAGCGAATCGCCCTGCAGATGCAGCAGCAGCAGCAGCTCTCGGAGAGAGATCGGCGCATATTACATATTACGTGCTGATCTGCACTGCTCCTGCTGCTGCTGCTGCTCCGTAAGAGCGGACCCTTGGAAGTCAAATTAGCGAAGGGGATATTGTATTATATTATATTATGCAGCGCACGCACACGAGGAGATTTTTTATGTACGTATTTATAATAATATCAAGCGACTAAATGCGCTCGTGAGACAAAACGGATTGATATCTGCGCGAATTGAATGGTTTCGCATTACGAAAGCTCACGTGCGGATGGTATATTCATGTACTTTTAATACATTTATTTTCTTCCGATCGCTGTTAAAGACGTGTAAGAGTATACATTTCTGCAGCTGTATACACACACCTTTTCAATACTCGTTGGCAATCGAATACAGCAGGATGATGAGCACGCGGAGCATCGAGGTTCATACAACTTACGGATTTTGTAATTCAAGCAGTTGTTCCGTCATTACAGATATTTTACATCTGGATTTGTACAAAATTGTGTAAAGGATAATGAACTTATTTAAATCTTTTATCAATCGGAGAATCGACAAAACCCATACCCCAGTATAACGTGTAATTCACAGCTGAGCATACACAGTTTAACAAGAGTAAGTCGGCAATAGAAAGAGTAAATAGCAATTACATCACGAATGCTCAAGCTAGATCTCGTTATTTCATTTGACTATGATCGTTTCGATCTTCGATGAATAGTTTTAATTCATACGAAAAAATTTTAAAAATCAATTTGTTAATAAAAATTGTGCGGCATCTTTTTATAGATGAATCGTCCATTTAAATTTCGTTTCGCCGTAAGCCTTTTCTAATTTCACACACTTTTGTAATGGATACTCGACGTCCGCGCGCGTCCATTACGATACAATTGAATTCTCGTTTCGACGGATTAGAACTCGCCGCGCGTCAGCTTAATGTGTACGAGATTACTTTATACTTTACGCGCGCAGGCAGCTCTTTCGGATGCCGAAAAGCCGCGATCTTTATAATTGTTTCGGCGTAATCTCGGCTTTTTATATTAATTATACCGTCATTAATAAATCGGTTGGTAAGTGCACGACACACGTACGCGAAGGAAGAAATGTAAGAGGGGAAGGGGGGGCCATGCGTTCGCGAGTGAAATTCGAGCTTGCCTCCCCTGAACGATCGATCGAAAGGCACATACGATTCCAACACTTTTAGAACTGACATTAACGACTATAAGATTATTAATTTAAGCAGCCTCGCGCGATATATCTCGCGAGTCGCGAGGCAGCTATATAACGTGTACAAGTATGTAGCTGGTGTTGTTGCTCGGCAGCAGCTCTCGTGTACGTACGACACATAGCATCTCGAGTCGAATATCTAAGGTGTGGCTTTTGCACGTATGCACACAGACATTCGTATAGAAGAAAAACAGGTAAGCGTATGCTATATTAATCTAGCGTCGTGTGTGTAAGCTCTTTCGCTGCGCGATCTATCGCGTAAATAACGCGAGCTGCAGCGAGCGCTGGCGTACAAGCGGAGAGAAATATTACGCAAAAACGTCTCTATGTAATATCTGCGACGTTGAGCGCGCGCGCTGAGTTTACATCGTGCATGCGAAAAACACACAGGTATATATAATAATATGAGTGTCTCTCTCGAGCCTGCAAAGCATTCAGCATCGTTACCGAGCAGAGGGACAACAATAACAAAAATTTCAACCGTGTAATAAACACAAAAACGCGCGTGTTATCCTGCTGCACCGCGTATTTACGTACATTTATACCTACATATAAGGATCGCCGCTCGAAGCGGCAGTCGCGCTCGCCTGCAGTCCCGTGCTCCGTACTCGATGAATTATATGCAGAGGACTCGGTTTACCGTTGACCTTGGGCAACTCGATTCTGGGCCATTGACTTCGTGTTTATACCATCCAGCGCGCTTATCCTCCGACCAGCGTATACAGGTATACATGCAATAATAATATAATATCGCGTCGCGAAGCAGCAAGTCAGCTCACGCGTATGTGCCATGTACATCGTGCGTGCACTTATACACGAGATGTGCATCACGTGTGCCATATAGAGGTATAAGTGTAAGTGCAGTACGTGTATAACGTGTGGATAGAATTTCACAGCGGCATCGGCAGCAGCTCGCGTCAGAGATCGTTAATGTATATATGCCTCTTCAAAGGACGAGGAGCTCGCGCCATTATCGGTATACGTTGTCGGGGCTCGCCACGTGAGCGCTTGGCTCGTCAACCCCCCGAATTGAATTGAATATTCTATTGAAATTGTGAGATTGAGTGATATAATATGATGATTCGATTTAACAAAATCATGAGCTGGCTGTTACTCCTACCACGCGTGGACACTATATGAATGAACTACATGAAGTGAACTTTGGATCAATCTGGTGATTTCATAGGAAAAAATTGCTATGAGCAAGAAAATAATAAAAATTATTTTGTACAATCAGTAAAACCACTAAATTGCTGGAATATATTATCAACACGAGGTAGGTAATGAAAATTGAATAAAGACAACTCGTTAAATTTACTACGCGTCTTTTTCATTTACTGAACCTATCTCTGAACTCCTACTTGCCACTTCAGCCGTTAGGTGGCCACAGAGCTCTGAGCACGTTCGCTCGAGCGAGTGGACCCCGTCAGGCCTTAATTAGAGTCCGTGTATATAATTTTTCGGGTACTTAGTTATGATTTTTTATTTCTTCAAAATTCACTGAATTCTAACGAATGCGTTTCGCGCCTATACAAAGC